CGTAGCTGTCAAACAAAACCCAAACAGTCCTGACCCGCGACAAAATGAAACAGGAAAGTACCCCAGTGTAATCCATTTATTTCAACAAAGTAACTGTATTCTGAATACCACCTTTTTAAACGGTAACTGTAACGGAATACAGTTACTCATATTTTGTATTCTAAATACGTAACGGCGGTACATGTATTCCGTTACTCCCCAACACTGCCTGTACGGCATCTGCAATCACGCCCCGTCGACTTAAATATTGTACTGTCTCCTGTGGTTGGGGTTGTTGTGGTAATGTTGAGCAGCGGGAGAGCTGCAGCACTGTGTGCATTGTGAACAGCAACCGTGTGTGCTAATAAAGAATGCTGCAAAGCATGTTGATGTCACCGGGTCTGCTGTGGTCATTCACAGCAATAAATAGGCTTTCCAACAGTAAAAGATTGATTACCAAGAAGCGTTCTTACAACAAAGGAATAAGCGACCAAACACAAATTTTCTTTCTTTTTGTGTACATTTCCTTTGATTTAAGAAGAAAGAAAAGACATTTGTAAGGCACTCCCAGTATGCTGAATGAAACTGCACTTTAAAATGATTTGAGACAGGCTTGAACAGTGGCATTTTACCTGACTCTCAGCATTTTTCCTCCTCTCTCAAACTAAACAAATACAACACCATTAATCTATGGTGAGTCATGCCTGTTTCAGCCAGTGCAGGCAGTGGCTCGGGATCACGGCAGGTACTCTTTAAAAACAACACGGTTATGCTTGACGGTGATGATTTTGGGGAGTGTGTCGCGCCACCTTTTTCAGCATTAGCTGTCAAAATAAAAGTAGTGATTCTATAAAGAAAATGGACAAAATAACAAAACAACCGACATAACACTGGCGGAACCTGAAAGTAGAAATGTAGACAGCCATTGAGTATAAAAGATTTTTTTTAATCCTTTAATCTACTTGTGGGCAGGGAATATTCTCCTACTCCTACTTCATGTTTAAATCAGACTATGTTAGAATGCATTGTCACCAAATTTTCACAGCTCATCTCTGAGAAATGTGGAAACATTCAGTCATGTTGTTGTCTGCAGCAAAGGTCTAAAAATTCAAAGTGCTTGACTGAAGCTCATAAATTAAATTAACAGATACACCCCCCCACCCCCCCCCCACCCCCCAATACTCATCTAGCCACAGCAGAAAATGAATCTGCTGAGTTTATTGTTAAATGGATGTTCTAGTGAGCAGGATGTGAGTGAGGATTTAATGCACCTTGAGGGAGTCCCTCTTTCCAAACTGAAAATGTGCTTCTGAGATCTCATCTCATATTAATTTGTCATGGAGAAGGTAGTCATGCTGTTGCTCCACGCCGCCCTCTGGCTAACTCCTCGGTATTCGTCATCTTTCGGAGCTGTGAGCCTTTCGACGTCTTCAATCTCCAAGTGCTTGTTTCGCAATTTAACTTAGCTTGTTTTCCTCGGCCCTCCCTGCACCTCTTTGTCCCCCTCTCCCTCTCGATCTTCTCGTGTCCATCAGCTGTGACCTTACAACAATTACGCATCCTCCAGTGGGACAATTAAAACCGAGCTACCTTCCCGAGTGGAGAGGGGGAGAAAAAAAGCGGAGGAAATAATGATGCCGGATTCATTCGTGCAGTCGCCCGCCTTCTTTGAACTAGCAGTTCTTGAAGTTGAGAAGGCGACTGTTTTAGCAGCTCTGCCTGTGTTCCAGTGCCACTGCTATTCAAGGACACGCTGCCCTTCAGCAGCATTGTCCAACAAAATAAAAGCCGTCTGTTCTCTATTCAGCACCGGAAAATTCACTCATGTTGACGTGCCTGTCCTCTTTCAACCCTGCCCCTCCTCTGCTTTGACAGGTGCAAGTGCAATCTTCACGCCAACAGCTGCGTGTATGACAAAGAGAAGTTGAGCTGTGAGTGTGAACACAACACCACTGGGCCCGACTGCGGCCGCTGTAAGAGGAACTACCAGGGGCGAGCGTGGAGTGCTGGCTCATACCTGCCCATACCCAAGGGCACCGCAAATATCTGTGAGTACACGCACACTCGAACACAAGCACACCTCTGACGTGTTGGCTAATTAAAAAGATGGATGACATGGCAGTGTAGGACTTTCAGGAGGTCTTATAGATCTCAACAAAATAATGGAAAATTTGTTGAATTTGTTTTTTAAAAAAATGCATCTACAGCGACAAGTGATAAAAGTCCAGTCCTAATTATCAGTATCCTGTGTGTCCTTTTAGAGAGTTCAGACGGTCGTTGCATTCAGAGATGCTGAGCTGTGGCGTTTCAAAGCAAAGTGAAGCAATTAACAGCATGCAAAAAAGATGTGTGTATGATTAGTGATGTTATGTTGAAGCAAATGTTTCCAGACCAGAGTGCAGTCTAGTTAAAAGACCACAGTGTAAATAGGATGTTGTTCTCTCTTCTACAGCTCTGTATTCTAGAAAATGTCCTTTTCTCGACCGCTCTAATTAGAGTGAAGTGAAAGAACCTGCACTACGTCCTCTGGAAGCTTGTTATACGCTGATGCAGCCTGTGCAAAAAAAGAATCATTTTTCTCCCTTTTTTTAGAGAAACGTGGGTAGCACTTTAGCAAACTAGTGTAAGTCCCCTGTAATTAACACTTGAAATTACAATGTAATTTTAGTTACCTACAGATATTTAAAGCTAGGTACATTAGAACAAGGGAATAATAAGTCAGGTTTTTACAGGAAACAAAGAAATAATTATACTGTAGGTAAATATAAGTAGAAAGGAGACACAAATAATACTGTTTAACTACTGCTTAAGTAAATTGAAGTACTGTGTAGTTTCTTGGTAATTTTGCAGAGAAACAAACAGTATTTCTCCAGCTTATATTGCAAGCACACTCAACACTTAACAAGTACGTTTTTTGGATATGTACACATCTTTATATAATATTCATTATGCATGATGATGCTCTATTATTTAACTTGTATTTTACCACATAAATGTGATAAGGGCCGTTTCCCCTTACTAACTTACAAGAAAAAGAAAGCAACAACAAACAGACTTTGCAGGACTGTGTCATCTCTAAATGATGGAGTCAACTTTGTTGTCTTTTATCATCACTGTCCAAGCATAACTTTGAAAAGCAGTGTTGAGGGAAGTATTGTCTGCTTTCCTGTAAAATACCTGGAAGTTTAAGCAAAGTTAAGTCACTCCAAACAAATTATGCAGCACTTAAAATTACTTATAGAGTAATTTGTGTCTCCTTTTTTGTAAAAAAAAAAAACAACCCCCCCAAAAAACTTGGAGTTCCAGTACTTAAAACTACTCATGCACTACCTAAAATTACTAATAAAATATTAACAGTGCAATTATTTCTTATTATCTCCTTATTCTAGTGTGCCTACCTTTAACTATTTACGCGTAAATTAATTACAATGTAATTTCCAATAAAATACATTGAAATTTCATGTAATTACAGCACTCTTAGTCGTGGGCCATATTATTAAGTACTACTGGACAATGTTAGTGGAATTTATTTAAAGGATGTTAAATCTTCTATGTTGTTCCAAAAGAGGATCACAGGTTTAACTGTGGTATCATCTGGTATCTGTGAACCTTTCTTAACCTGTCCACAGGTGACAGCCCTTTGACACTTGGATTAGTTTAGTAGCTCTTGTGTAAACTCGTTTTCTATCACTTTTTTTGCTTTAATTTAAGAACGAAACTAAACTAGCAACCAGCCCAGGGCGGTAAGTAAAAAACCTGTCACTTTCAGAGACACTTAAATCACCTTTCTTCAATATTCCCAACGCTCAGTTTGATATTTGACCATGTCTGCTTGCACTCAATCGCTACCATGTGATTGGCTAATTAGAGATTTACTGTCAGGTAAACAGGTGTACCTAAGAAACTAAATGCACCTGCTCGCTGATGAAATTCTACGTGGCGCATTGTCAACAATAAAGGTACTGATGGGGTTTTGCATCGCCTCTGTAGATGTCAGACTTACGGGCCTGTAGTTTTCCCGTTAACAGTGTGTGCCCTTTTTCATACTTCTTTCCATCCTTCAGGCAAAATTGATTTCTCTTGATTATATAAATCTGTGGGAGGTTCAGCAACCACATGATTATTTTGCTTAAAATTCTAAACTGCATTACAACTTTATTAGTTATAAACTTTTATTTCTACTAAACAGGAATTTCGAGAAGTTGCAATAGAACAGGCTGCTTACAAAGTTATGTAACATTAGGCTAAATACAAACCAACACACACGTGTGCTCCTTTACTTTTTCATGCTTTTGAAAAATTACGTCTTGGCTGCGTCGTGTTGTTCAGTCCTGCTCAAAAGATGCAAGGAGTTCATAGTGGTCAGTAGGACCGCATTAGTTTGGCCCTTTAACCAGGACTGTAGGGCCCAGTTGGACCTGACAGCACAGCTCCTGGGATCACTCAGGCATACAGACCTCTTCACCATTGTAAGGTAGGAATTTTTGGAGATTGGATGAGGAGCTTAGTCATTCATGAGGAGCTCAGAGTAAAGCCGCTGCTGCTCTGCATTAAAAGTAGCCAATGGGGTAGCCACTGGCTACTTTTAATGCGTCTCGCTAGGGATGCCTCCTGGGCGTCTCAAAGGTGAGATGTTTTGAGCAGACTGAGGATACGCTGGAGAGACTGTGACTCTCAAACGGGTTGGGAAAACCTCGCTATCCACCGGAAGCGCTGGAGGCGTTGGTCAGGGGGACGAAGGTTGGGGCGGCTCTCTGCGATTTTGAAATGCGCATTTAGCAGAAGGCTTCTCTACTTTTGATCCCGAGGTGTTTTCGGAAACACAAAGGAATGTCACAATTAAAAAGTAGAATGCTAACAAATGTCGCCAATGGGGAAATTGTGCATCCAGACTGCATAATCTCATATTGTTATATTTTGAAGTGGGCTCGAGCTTTCCACTAATAAACAACACGGATTACAGTTAATAAATAATGTTGTTAAGCTGCAGCTGCGATGCTAATGTAGAACAGAGGCAATTACTCCTGCTCGAGCTGAAGTAAGTGGGCCAACCTCCTTTTGTCTAATGCGTTGGCATGACGTCACATCACATCTTCTTCTCACAGAGCCTGAAGAACATTTGCTGGTGTGGACCCATGTTTTATATCTGACTTAATGCAAGGACAACAAAGAATTCTTTGTTTTACACTTTTGAATACTTTTTGTTTTGCTTTTCAAATGCAGTTTTGTGGATGAACCAAGCAGAGAGAGTTCAACTAGTGAACTGACGTCAAACCTCGGCAGTTGGTAACAAACCACAGTGCAGACCAGGGAACAAAATAACAATGAGGAGTGAAAATTAGTCCTGGGTTCACCAGGTGGCCAGAGTCATGACTTCATTTGAAAGCTCTCCTTGCTGTGTAAGGTGATGAAATGAAAATGCTTTGTTCTCAGCTTGCTCCCGCTGCCCCCCAGCAGCCAAATGATCATCATCACCTTCATCACATTAATCATAATTAATTGATTTTAAAAATGTGAGTTTAAGAAAGTTTGTTGAATCTCACTTGCAGCCCTGAGCAAACCTCAGGGAAAGAAGTATACAACTGCATGAAGGCAACTGTATGTAATATTGGAATTTACAGTAAAACTTCCCTTGCCAAGAAGGAGAAATACAGCAGTCTATGAGCTTGAGAAATATGGAATATATTATCATTTCATGGCCTCTTTCCCCCCAGACTTTTACTGCTCGCTGTTTATTTTGTTCCTGAACTGAAAGGCAGGAATGTGTGTTCTTCCTGGGGTACACACACAATATGGGAAGTACTCTGTTCATACAGCAGTTTAGTGTCATTGAAATGAGGGGCTGGGAGATGATCCGGGTCCTGCGTCTCACCTTTAGACTTTCTGCTGTTAGCAGACTTCAGTGTGTAAATAGGCGATGGATCTGTGAGGGCATTTAACAAAACAATTAGCACAAAAACAGTGAGTATCAACTGCCCCTCGTGAACACAGGCTCCAGAGCAGCCACTACTCCTCCCTTACATCATTTCCAGAAAGAGTGATGAGTAGCAGGGCTATAACTTTGAGTGCCGTGGCATTAATATGAAAGCCCAACTTTTATTCCACCCTGTCTCCTTATTGCATCCGCTGTGATTTCTGCCTTTCTCTGCGGCGCTCGAGGGCTCCCGGCCGCCGGCCACTGATGACTTATTCTACCTCCCAGAGGATCCACGTTATGAGACTTAGGGAGGGTTAGTGAAATGCCCATTCCCAGAGCCCAGATTGACAGCACATTATTAAAAAAGGTGACACTCACACACACACACAGGTGATCATCCAGGCCTGCATGCACACAAACATACACACATTCATAACTACACAAGGACACACTCACGCACACATGCTCCCTTTGCCCTGCAAGTGATGAAAAACAGTCCGAGTATAAAGTGCGTTATTATACTTTGTCTTGGAGGAAGAAAAATCCATAATGTAATAACGCTGTGAAAAATCTATAGGAATGCAAGGTTATCCCTCCTGAATAGAAAAGAAAATGCTCAAGGCTGACAGAAAAATGCACCTTGTGCTGTTTTGTAATTTTCAAGCCCATTCAACACCAATTCCAAAAGTCTCCTTCCCTCTCAATGTTTTCCCCCAAACCCAGCGAGCATATGGCAGCTCTGCAGAGACAAATTTGTCAAAGATGAAAATTTAATTAAGATTTAATTTCTTTTTACTATGCCCATCAAGTAGTCTGATGCGATAAGGAGCTCGATGAATCATCATTCAGAGAGGGTGTGGAGTCTGGGTGTGGGGAGGGGTGCAGTGTGTGTGTGGGTGGTGGGGTTGGGGGGTCGTTGATATGTCGTCTTACAATGGCTCTGTGTTGAGAGCGCAGAAGAAGAGCGGGATTTAGAAAGTGATGAAAAAAGGAATGGCAAGGATAGAAGGAGGGGAAGTGGGCATCGCTCTCTGTCACAGCTAACTCAGCCTTCTGGGGTGGCTCTGTCTTTCTCGCTCTTTTCATCTGCGTCTCTCACCCCCTCAGCCCCTCACACACACCCACCCACCC